TGGATTTACTTATATATATATATATATATGATGAATAATATTTCGAGCTAAAATGAGCTGAACACAAATAAATAAATCTTTGTTCGTGCTCGGCTCATTAACTTAGAGAACGACCCAAACACGAGCTTCTTAACGAGTCGAACATGAGCTGTTCGCGAACAACGGGCCGTTTTGACAGCCCCAATCTATTGTTCGACAGGGCCAATTGCGGCGTATGCATACCTCCAGAACTGTCATTTTTCTCCTCCATAGGGTCTGTTTGGAGCAGCTGCAACTTATTGAATAATCTGCAGATAAACTGATTAAAAATAATCTGTTGATAAGCTAGGTGCGATGACTATTACAAATTTTTATTTTTTTGGAAAAGTCAGATCGCTGTCAGAAAGTTCCCACCGTACCTAGATAGGTGCGGTATGAAAACGCTGTTTTCTTCTGCGTGTTGAAAACTCATAAGCTGCCAAAACGCAGTTTACCCAAACAGGCCAGGTGCTTTTTCAAAACGTCACCGCACCAAATAAGCTGCCCCAAACCGACCCTTAATCTCCGCGACATAAAGGTCTGAAACTACCATCTTTCTCCTCCTTACACTTTACTCTGCTTCTACATAGATGCATTGAGGAAGATAAACCTCATATTTCTTCCCCTCCCTGTTCTAAATCGTGATTTATTGTACCCAAAATTTTGGTTTAAAAATATTTAAAATAAAATTTTATTTCTCCCACATGTATTTCTGTTGAACATTGAACACCCATGCCTAATCAACTTGATATCATTTTTTGAAATTTTTGATGTGCTTTGTGACTAGTAATTTGCATTATTAATAATATTGATAGCTCATTTTTTTAATCATGAATTTTTTGAGTTGATTGAAGGAAAAAAGTGAGCTTTCATGAGTGTTTCATTGCTTTGAACTTGACAAAATGTGTTGTTTCAACATTTTTTGTTTTTCAAAAGTTGTCATCTTCTTCACAATATTTTGTTGTTATTGAAAATGCATGGTTAATGTCAACTTTATGATCAATTAGGCGTATCGTGATTCTTAATTTGATTTAGATTTTAATAAAAAGTATAGATATTCTTTTATTAGTGCGAGCAATCACACTAAAGATGTGTATCTAAATTTTTGTATTATTATGAAATAAATTTTTATTTTTAAAGTATCAAATATATGACTATGACTGTTATGTTACAAACAACATTACTAAATAATGGAAGAATGATCATTTGTCCAAAAACTTTTTAACACGGTTGTTTTCAAATAGGTGAAACAAACAACTAGCTAGCTTCCCCGTAGCAGCTTCATGGGGCGGCTAAGTTGCAGTTGCCCCAAACAAACCCCTAGTTTAACTGATTTAAATTCAAAATAAGAAAAAAAAATAATGACAATGAAACTCACCTTACCTTTTTTTTTCACAATAACCTATCTTGTCTACTGTTGTCATCATTATTTTGTTTTCTTACTTCTTACGCGCAATCTCAATGATAACTACGTTAAAAATTAGTGGTTAATGTCTGTTTTGAGCTTGTGTATCTTAATTGAAAAGAAATCCCTCTACTAAATCCTCTACAAATTTTTACATATCATTTTTCTTCGTTGCTAATTTAGCTCACCGTTACCTATCTCCATCACCGTTGATTATTACGTTATCCTCCTTTTGCCTACCATCTCCTTCCCTTTTGCCCCTACCCATTGGTCAAATTATTGCGTGCGGAGAGCGCACGCATCATTATATGGCTTTGCGTGCGCTCTCCACACGCAATAATCGCTCCATTGAATATCCCCACCCCACCACCCATCACCACAATTTGCTATTGCATCCAATCATCAACCGCATTTGAATATTTCACAATTAAAAAAAAAATATTTCAATGCATCTTAGTTAAATCAAACAAAATAATATATATTTTTAATGTCTAAATATTTTATTTATTTTGTATTCTAAAATATATAAAACTTTTTTAAAAAATAATACACAAAAAAATCTTAACATTGCCGCTCATGAAGTCCTTGGAGCAAGCTTTATTTTTCAAAGAAGCTCGTCTAAAAACAAAATTAGAAAAAGCTTAGTCATAAAATTACAGTTGGTCAAGTGACATTGTTTGAATATAAAATTTATTGTGTTCTTTTTAATACATTAGTCATAACATTTAAAGATAAAAAAGACTATGATAACATTTATGTTCTTCGAAGGCTTTGAACTTGCCTCGGAGTCATCTGAAACGCCAGCAGCCATCCGATCGGAATGATGGGACATGCAGCTCCAATTGGGCGGCTAGATATTAGGAGGAGGGGTGAGGAAGGAGGGGATGCCCTGGAACGGCGGGTGATAGGCTCGGTGAGCTAAGAAAAATCTTCTTCGACACCTCTCGGAGATGATAACTCGTCGACGGTGTGGACTAGGTCTCATGGACTTGCTGTCATTGCCTAGCTTTGTCAGGGGATTGCGATCGTTGCTCTGGTCATCATCGCCTTGTATGGAGTTCAGTAGAGAGCGAGCAAGCAAATGACAACAAGGACCATGCGACCATTGGATTTGCCAAAGGCCAAGGCCTTTCAAACTTCCTCGATGATCTCATCACTAGAGGAGACCGAGAAAAGGGATGGGTCTCGATTACATGGCCATCGCCGTGAGACACGTACGCATGGACATGGAGACATGGTGGATAGGCTGTCAAAAAGCTCGATGTTTGCGAACAGTTCGTGTTCAGTTGGTCAATAAGCTCGTGTTCGATTCATTCAAAAAATAAACGAGACGAACATGAACAAATTTTTTTTGTTCGGTTAGTTAAACGAATCAAACAGGAACAGTGATGTGTTCGTTCGTGTTTGAATCGTTATTGTTCGAAATATAACATAATTTAAAATAATTATTTATAAAAATGTATGATATTTTAAAAAATTAAATTTTATAAATTATAATATATAATAAATTAATAATAATAATATATTAATATACTGTATAAGTAATATACTAATAAAGATATTATATATTTATATAATATAAGTTATATAATTAATATAATATATTATTTATATATATTAATATTAGGGATGTCAAGGCTCGTGTGACTTCATGAATAATTTCAAATACGAGCTTATTTCAAACGAATCGAACACGAACACAATTGAATATAAATTCTGTTCGTTCGTGTTCGATTCATTTACAACCTTGATGGTGGATGAGCCAAAGAATGCCTACAATAGAGCTTGATGGTGGATGAGCCAAAGAATGCCTACAATAGGCTATTTTGGACATTTTAATTTATGCAACATCTAAATGCGTTCTAAAACAGTAGAAGGAATGATCGAACCAATGATCCCAAAAATGACAAGACAACATTGTGGCGGGAGAGTTTCCGGAGAATTTGATCTACTAAACCAATAGTGAGCGCTCTCCTAACTTTATGTGCGACGAAATAGTGGTCGCCTGCCTTTTAAACAAGAATATTTCAATGGATCACGGTGTTTAATGTTCGTCGTGACTTAGCTCACCATAATCATAAAATTAATATGTTGGCTCTTCTCCGCATAATGTCAATTGTAATAATTCAACGCTTCTCATTAGCAATGACCCAAATAGGGGTGTAAATGAGCCAAATCAACTTGTGAACCTACATAGACTCAACTCGATATGTGGCCTGTGAACTGAGCTCGATTAGCTAACAAGCCAAGCTCAAGCCAACCCCAACTCAACTCATCAGCTCGTGAGCCAACTTGTTTAAAAGATATACTAAAAATATATTAAAATTAAAGAAATTTTTAAAATTATTAAAAAATAATTAAAAATCATATTCAATATTTTATATCAAGTGATTTCTCATTAATCATCTTATAAATGTCTCTTTATCATTAAATTATAATATTAATTTAAAAATAAAACTCAATTTTGCGTCCAACTCCAATTAATCAATTAAGGGTCTGTTTGGGGCGGCTTATTTGGTGCGGTAGTATTTTGAAAATACACCTGGTTTGTTTGGGTAAACTGTGTTTTGGCAGCGTATGCGTTTTTAAAACGCTGAAAATAACGTTTTCACACCACTATCTAGGTGCGGTGGGAGCTTGTTGGCAACGATCTGACTTTCTCAAAAAATAAAAATTTATAATAGCCACCACACCTAGCTTATCAGCAGATTATTTTTAAACAGTTTATCAACAGATTATTCAATAAGCTGCAGCTGCATAAATCAAATCTGAGAATTCTAGTTCGAGCTAGAGCTGAACTCAGCCTCGGACTCTGGACCGGACTCACCGCCATAGGCCCATAGCACCATCGAAGAAGTATTAGCTTGCGAAGCTAAACATCTGACGTGTCAAGAAGCGTGTGGGATTTGGGTTATTGAAACGTGTGGTCATCACGTTGCTACATAGGTCAGGAATAAATATCTTTTTCTCCCCGCATTTATAGCTCCGCTGCTGTAACTCCGGTCCTCTCCGGCTCGTCCTCCTTTCCTCACGGAGCCATGGCCGCCGTCGCAAACCTTTCAGTCACTGCTCTCGAACATCCTGCCGGAATCAATCGCCCTCGAGTCGATCAGTTGCGGAGGTTGCGGCATCTGAGAGCAGTTGACGGAGTGGCGTCTTCTTTGTGTTCACTAAGTGTTCGACGGAAGCGGATCCGTTTGCTTACGTGCAAAGCGTTCAGATCGGAAGATGGAAGGGGTTCGAGTGTGGAGGATGGGGATGGAAGTACAGGAGGTAGTGATGCTGAGGAGAAGAGTTATCTTATCGCTTCGAAATCTAAGCGGAAGGGAGCTCTTTACTCGCTCAAATCTTTACTAGTTAGGGTTTCTGGTGTGAAGTCCATGCCCGAAAGACCGTACAGGAAGGCGGTGGAGAAAGCCGAGGAGATCTTCTTTTCGGTGAGTGAGGAGAATGTTAAATTACATATCTGTTTTAAAATTTTACAATCTTATTTTACGTGAAGATTGTACATGTTGGATTCAATTTTAGCATTAATGAAATCTATATGGAGTTAAAAGTGCGAGTTATAGTTCGTGCTGTTTTAATATGTTATTCCAAGTGACTTCAGCGCTAATCAGGTTGATGCTGTTTATAGTGTTCCTTGAATGATCTGGATTTACTTTAACTATATTAGTATGAAAATCGAGGTTCCCTGTTTTTTATTTAAATTAACAAAGTCAAATATCTATTCGATCAACTGGAATTTTAAAATTTTATAAAGACATGAAAAATTGTTAGGAAAGTCTTTTTTATTTTTATCATCTTCATGATAGGAGTTTGTTTATAAGGGAGTTTGGGTAATCATGTTTTAAGATGGAACCAGCATCCTTGTTTCTGACCTTCTTATCTGCCTTGAACTTTTTGTGTAAATTTTCTTTGACTAGCAAGCTAATATTAGTGACCTCATTTTACCTTCTCATGCTACCCCATTCTTACAATCTTTCTTTTAATTGTTCATTGCAGGTTGCTACACATTTAGGAAGATATCTTCTAACTATGATGAGTACAGGTGTTATACTTGCTATTGGATTTCAGTTATCAGGTTAGTGAGCTTCCTGATTGCACAACATATTCAATGATTCCCTTTCTTTTTTTCTTCTTGTTTCATCCCAACTTTTAACTAACCTGACATTTATATATATATTTTTTTAACTTCTGCTTTAAAGGTGGGGATGCTGAGATGAATGCACTGATTTGGTATAGCTGGCTAGGTGGGATAATTATTGGGACAATGATAGGGGCAAACATTGTTCTAGAGGAATATTGCAAAGCTGGTCCTCGCAATGTTGTCATTACTGGAAGGTACTGTGGTTACATACTATACTTGTGGAATGGCAATGAACATTCATATTTGCTGTCAAACTTCCATTAAGCTGAAAAATATTTAACTTTTGGCTGCAATGTTCAACTTGTTTTATTTGTGATTCTAATTGTTTGAGCTTGGTTCATATTCGTTAATATGATGGTAATCGAGTTATTATGGATCAAATTAACGAGTAGTACTATCGAGCTGCTTGATTTCTAACTAGACGACCGTTATCAAACATATTAAACTAGTGCTATTGAGCCATTTATTTTCTAACTAAAATAATCTTTTCTACCAAACTAATGAACTGTATAATTGAACTAATTATTTTCTAATTAAATGAGTTTTATCAAGCTTATAAAGAAGTTACTTGTTGAACTTATAAAAACAAGTGAGACTTTAAATGCACTGGCAACAAAATGAATAACTAAAATAAGCATGTAAATGCACAAAAATAAATTGAAAACCAAGCAAATAAGCCTTTTATCTTATTTTATGTTTTAGGAATTAAAAAATTAATTTAATTTAATATAAATTAGTTCATTTACGAGCTTTAATTTAGCTTTAACTGATCTTATTCACAAGCATTAACTAAAGCTTAATCGATTTAGTTAACGAGTTTGCTCATAAAATTTAAATGAAATTGTTCATTGAGCTTTTTAACGATCTTGTTTGCGAGCTACAGATTATATTGTTTATGAGCATAAATGAATCAAAGAAGCAGTTGTTCAAGTTTGTCAATTTAACAATAAAGTATTTATCAAAGTGTTCAAACTTCTTCAATTACTAATCAACTGAATGTGAACAGGCTTTTATGGAGCCAAGCTAGGAGTAGCTCATCGAATGCCCGATTCGTTAGAAACTCTAATCTTACTAATTTTATTATTTGATAGTGAAACCTGTTTGAGGAAAACGTAGGGACTACATGCCTATAATTTATGCAGATGAATTGGTTAACTGTCGAATTAGCTGATATAACTTTAAACTGTTTTTTTGGTTCTGTTTAATGTTCAGCCAAATTTGAGTTAACTTATTTAACTTAAAGCATGGCAATTTTTTTATCTTCTGTTGCTAATAGGAATAAATGAGTTAGGTCTATTACACACTTATGTTCAACCTAAGTGCTCATTTTATTTTGCGGAATGCTTGCTATATAATTTTAAAGATAGCTTGGCTTGTACTTTGTTGCAGTTTCGCTGTTTATTAGTTTTAATTACAGCAGAAAACTGCTATTGAAGTACCAGTTAGTGTGGCATCTAATTAATCCTTTTGTAATTTTACTTGTTTCACAGCACAAGAGGATTAGGTAAGGCTCTTGCTCGTGAGTTTCTTCTGTCTGGTGATCGAGTTGTGGTTGCTTCCCGCAGGTGATTTTAGCTTTTAAGATTCACCCTCTTACTGTTAGGTTAATAGGTTTCAAACAATTTTCATAGCTTTTATATCTTTGGAATCCAATTTGGTCCCTTTGAAAGGCAGTCCTGAGTCAGTGCAATCAACTTTAGAAGAACTCAATGAAAGCCTGAAGGAAGGCATGTCTATCGCTGGTAGCAAAAGAAGTGCAAAACTTTCACGGGCTAAAGTTGTAGGCATTGCCTGTGATGTTTGCAAGGCCGACGAAGTGAGGAATTTGGCCAATTTTGCTGTCAAGGAGCTTGGTTCAGTTGACATTTGGGTATGATATCAATTGTTCTCTGCCAAATTGTCTTTTTTTTTATTTGTAATATTTTTGTGAACTTCTTTCATATAAGAATAATGTTTCTTAACCTTAGAATGGCTATAGAAAGTAGTAGTTAATCGCTTACTGGCTTACATGTTGAATTAAACAATCAATCTCTATTGTGGATAACTCATTTTTTCTACTTTATCATGAACAACGTCATATTTTTACTTTATGAGAAATGTGGGGACATAATTGTACAAAGCAGTTTGAGTGTTACTTGTTTGTGATGCCATTCTTAATTCACAATAAAATATTAGAGTTTGGAACAGCATATTTTTCTAAATTGTGTCATACTGTGGAGAAATGTTGAATTGCAATGCTTTGAATTGTTTATTGAAGGGTTGAAATTTAAACATATTTTTCAGAACGATACCACTCACTCTTAGTCATGTAATGCCTTAATGCTTTATCTTTTTGCTTGTATGACAGCCAGCACTGGCAACCAAACTGGAAGAAAATAACAAAAGTTCATCTCATAAAGATTTATGCTCTATTTCTTCTCCATCTTATGTTATAAATGTCTATCCTCTTGGACATGTTATGCCCAATATTGGTTGGGCTTCTTGAATGAACGAAGATAATGCATTCATTGGTTTTTGGATATATACTTCTCTCATCTTCTTTTCTCTCGTCATGATGTTGTTATGTTCCTAGTTGGAAATTAAATTCAACTTAGTTATATCTTGAGAATTCTTTCTTCCGTAGAATTCAAATATTTAGAATTTTAAGCATTAAGTTGCTGTTATATGAATGCATTAAAGATAGTCAACCATATGCGTGTTTTAAAGAGTCTTAATAATAGCAAGAGTCAATCCTGATTTCGAATTAGAATCACTGGATAATCATCTTACAACCTTGCATTTAGAGTTAATATATCTAGAAATCTCCATTGAGCTTACATACATCTGTGGGATCTTTTTTTGAATGACAAACCAGGTTATTTGATCCTAAAAATAGTCCAAATTCTTTTTTTTTTAAATTAAATATCATTATCCAATTTTCCTTTAATGAGTGTTTGGTTCGCTGAATTTTTGGTGTAAATTAAATCAAATACAGGGGCATTTTAAATTTTGGCATTTGTTTAGATTAAATTGGAATGCAACATAAAATTTTGGTGAATTTGAAATTTACCTTAGAGTTCAAAGCTGGTGTACTCCGAACTTATTAGATTTGAGCTATTTCTAATTAAATTGTAAACTACTGCATGATGGCCACCGCCGCCCCATCAGTACTCGACCACTGGCCAACCGTTGCCTGCAACCACCTACCTTACAGCCTTCACGCTGCTGCCGGGACTTGCAGTTGCCCATTTTTTTGAATGATTTTTAAGTAACCTATGAGCAACAATTTAATAAGTAAATCTTTAATAAAAAAAAAAAAACAGTATTATATGACTTGAAGAAAGTGTCTCGAGCTTGGAATGGAGACATCAATTCTTGCTTGAATACTAACAATCTTGTACCGTCCTTATGAGCATTTTTGCATGTAAAAAAGCAAAAAAGATGCAAATATTATTGTCGCTTGCTTTGCACGTGTTAGTTAGAGTTTAACATGTTTTGTGCTCGAAATTATGGACATAGGGCTTACAAGTTTTTAGCTTGAAATTAAACAACTGAAAGCAGCCATTTTTGTGTCATTGGAAACTTACATAAGTGAAGTTCTCTCAGAAAATTTAAGGTAGATTTTTGTAGTCCAGCTAATACCCCCATTGATTATGGTATAAAAATATTTGAATATAATAAAGGTGATGAGGTAGGTCTTATTTTTTATAAAAGCCTAATTGGAAGCTTAAGGTACTTAACATTCACATGGTTGGATATTTTTTATGGAGTTCAATTGGTTAGCAGATACATGGATGAGCCAAGACGTCAAATTTGAAAGAGTATTATTCATTACATCTGAGATACTATCTCCAAGTTACCCCTTCTTTAGTTCTAATGATTTTCTACTTTATTTATTTATTTATTTTGATAGAGTTGGAGAGGAGATATGGATAATCGAAAAAGTTATGCAGTATTTATTTTCTCTTTTTAGGTGAGATTTCATTCATATGCCTATCCATGAAGCACTAGTCTCTTTACATATCAAGCCGAATTTATGGCATCATCATGTGTAACCGATGCAATTTGTTCTAGGATATCGCTCACGGAAATGCGTCTTCTTCAAGTTGTAGCTACAAAGATTGGCATTAATACTAAATAGATAGTCGTATTAGCTATCAAGTTCACCATAAATTTGAACAAGTATATAGAATTTTAAGAGATTGTAAAAAAAAAGGAGGAGAACTTATCTATATGAGGGAAAATAATTAAGTTGTGGTTATCTTCATCAAACTGCTTGCGATATTCTTGGAATGAAAAATAGAACACGATTAAGTTTAAAGGAGCATTGGAAATTAAATTCAGCTTTATTGTAACTTCAAAATTCTAGGATTTTTGGAATTCTAAGATTCAAATTGTAAGTATGAATGTATTGAAGATAGATTATACATGTGTGGAGTAGAAAAAGGTCACAAGCATTCCAAGCATCAATTCCGGTTTTCAAATGTAAAACTCGGATGATTATTCCATAAATTTCTATTTAGAGCTATCTTGTGTCTAAGAATCTTCATTTTGCCGATACATACCTATGATTTCATGTCAAAATGAAGCTATTTGTACTTAATAACTTTTTCAAAATTTTATTTATTTATTTAATTTTGTATTAGCTATTTCACCTTGATTCTATCACCCTTCAGATATCAATGCTATATTTTAACCCTCTCCATCTAGCAACTCTCTTCACTTTCTTCTTTTAGATATTCCAAAATAGCAATGTCTTTCAAATATCAATAATCCTAGCAAAATTCTCCCGTGTTAATTGGCAGATAAATAATGCTGGGACTAATAAAGGTTTTAGACCACTCCTACAGTTTACAGATGAGGATATTGATCAGGTATGATTTTTTTCTATGAAATTCACATAATTTGGGAATTGTTTGCTTATTATGCTTAATTGCTGCAAACCTTGTTCATAGCTATTATGTTCGTTGCAGGGCAACAAAAGATGTTTACTGCTTTTGTACATTACTCATATCTTGTTTTCTTGCTGTCGAGTATGAGATGTGCCATAAATGCCACACTCATTGCTAATGGTCCGTTTGGTATCACTTTTGTTTTTTGTTTTAGTTTTGATTTGAAACAAAATATATTAGGCTATTTAATTACGGAATGGTTGTTTTTAAAAACACTCAAAACACTGAAATGATGTTTTGAGTGTTTTAAAAATAATGTTAATTTTAAACAAATAATAATAACACGTAAAATAACACACTAAACAAATGTATTTTTTTTAAAAAAAACAAAGTTGCTCCAAAGCAAGCCTTAGGTTTCCATTTTTTTTTCCATGTTTGTGATAAGTTATAGGAACATGCTTGTGATGGTACTTGGGCACATCGGATGCAATGTAGCTATTTTGGAGAAAGCAATTATGGAGCAGTATTAAAACCCATAATAATTCTGGTTCCAGTGCCATTAGCTATCTAAAATGGTGGAAAAATAAACTATAATGTCGAGTTGGTGACTTGGTGTGAAAGTAATGAGCTTTCTTGGTCATGCTGATGTTGTCATTCAGTTTATGCTAACCTAATGATTTTTAAACTTAATATTTTTACTTTTTATTTTTTTTTTTGACATTTGTCAGGCAAATTGTATGCTGCATGGATAATGCCATCAATTATGTTTTCAATTAAAAGCGTTAAAATTTAATCAGGTTTTAACAATCGATATTATTTAAAATTTTTGGTGCTTCCAAGGATTCCATAGTCCTCCTAATTTCTTTTAATCAATTGATGATTAGTATTTTGAAACTTTGATTTTTCATCTACTGCCCATCTCTTCATTGCGTATCTTGTGCATGCAAATTTTAACCTTACATTTCTGCACATTTCTTCATTAAATTAAACCTTCATGCCCACTAATTGCATTGTGAAATTCTAGATACATGATGTTTGATAGGAACTACACATAATCTTGGTTTTTTGCTGTTGGCTTCGTGCAAGATGATAATGTATCTAGTCTCTCAGTTGTTTAGTTAAGGGACTGCTGATATTTTTTTAAAGTATTTGAATTTATCCGGGCAATTTTAATTTTGCACTGGAAGCACCACAACGGGTCACTTTTTACCCTCTATATTTTGTGAACGAGTAAAGTGTCAAATAGTTTCCTAACTATTTATATAGGGTCAAATTAGTCCTAGAATCTATAAAAATGTAAAATTAATCAATATACTCTTTTAATATGGGTTGAAATAGTCTTCGTGGAGGACTATTTTAGCCCCCTATTAACAGAGTATGAGGACTAATTTGACATTTTTATAGAATCTATGACTAACAGGCCTCTGCCCCCGTTTTGACTCCTTTCTCCATTGTGAATTTAGTGGATTAAAACTAATTCCACATTTTTTAATTGCCAGATTGTCTCCACAAACTTAGTTGGGTCATTGATCTGCACAAGAGAAGCTATACGTGTTATGGAAGCTCAGGAGAAGGGTGGCCATGTGTTTAACATGGATGGGGCTGGTTCTGGGGGATCAAGCACCCCGCTCACAGCTGTGTAAGTTTTCATGCATTCAGACTGTGTAATATCTCATAAAGCTGAAATCTAAAGTCTGATTGCATATTTCAACAGCATGGAGAATTACATGGCATAATATTGGTTTGGAACATTTACATACGTAGCACACAATTTTATGTGTTTACATATCTCACACTCAAACTTCGTATTTACACAGAGCACTCAAATTTTTAATATCACATAAAAAAATATCACTGTTATCACTACTTAAAAGTGAAATAGACCTTTTGTTTAAAACACCAAAGTGCTCTGTATGAAAGTTTACGCGTGAGATTTGTAAATCTAAATACTTAAGAATTGTGTGCTACGTAGTTAAATTTCCCCATTTTCTTACGATAAAATCCCTTTCCACCAAAATAAGTCAGCATTATCTTTTGTTATTTTGCGTTAAATTTTATGGCCATTCATCTTATTGTCTGAACATGTAGGAAATGTTTAATTATTCCTATAGAATCAGATGAGTTTCCCCTTTTTCATATTTATTTTGGTGGCTTGGTAATCCTCTATAGCAATCCCGTTATATATGATAGATGATTGTCATTCTTTCTAGTTTTCTCACCAAAACCACTGTTAATATTTTATGCCAAAATTTATATGCATTTTATTTTTCTTACTTCTCGGAAAATTTTAATGCATGGTTCATCGTGGCGTAATCATTTGTCTACATTTTATAAAGGAAGACTTATATACATACCACTAAGTTCCTATTTCCTATGTATTTACATATCTCTAACATCCAAACTTAAATTTTTATGCATATACCACCTTTCCTTTATATGAAAAGGCATATTTCACTTTTTAAAAGTTAAAAAGTGACATTTTTGATGTGATATAAAAGATTTCTTGTGCTATAGATGTTAAAGCAAAGCTTACGAGTTAGATATGTAAATACATGGGAATTGGGTGCTATGTATGTAAATGCCTTTTTAAAAATTACCGAAATTATGTTCCTCAGAGTAAATGATGAGCATATGAGTCCCTTTCATGACTGTTTTCTTCAAAATCTTAGTTTCGAAGTACTCCTATGTTATAAGCTCAGTTGGGCAATCTTATGAAAACAAAATGGGGCTTTTTGGCTGCCACCCCCTTACTCATGTGAAGTCCCACAACTTCCTATGAATCTGAATGTCAAAACCAAGAAGCTATTTTAATGAGGTGTTGAGGATACTCTAATTGTACAGACGTTCCCATCATCATCATATCAGATTTGGAAGCTTACATACATTCCACTTAATTCACATATATTTACATATCTAACCCTTGAGTTTCAATTTTTACATTTATGCCCTTGCCTATGCATGAGAAGATGTATTTCACTTTTTTTTTTTTCAAGTTAAAATAGTGGTATTTTTGATGTGATACTAAAGATTTGAGTGGTATAAATGTAAAAAGTAAAGTCTAGACGTGAGATATGTATGCAAATACGTTAAGGAATTGAGTGGTATGTATGTGAATGTTCTTTCAGATTTTTGTAATACGCGAAATCTATGTGTAGTAAACCTTTTTTTTTTACTTGTTTCTTATTTGAGAAATTCAGAAGTTAGAGAAAGCCTAAAGTTTTCTTTCCTCCATTTTAGAATAAACGTTTTATTTTTCGCAACATATTTATTCCTTCATTCAATATATTGCACTAATGTCTTTTTGCCCGATTTTTTTAAATTCTGATTGCATAATGTATCTAATTTGTAGCTATGGCTCAACAAAGTGTGGGCTTAGGCAACTTCGTAGTTCGCTTATGAAGGAGTGCAAAAGGTCCAAGGTTGGCGTACACACTGCATCTCCAGGAATGGTTCTAACAGATCTTCTTCTTAGGTAATTCTTGCCCGTCTCCCTCATGAATTTACTTGGGAATATTTACATACATACCACTCAATTCTTATATATTAACATTCTAACACCCATACCACCTTACCAATGCATGAAAAGATGTATTTCACTTCTTAAACCTTGAAATAGTGGTATTTTTGATGTGACGTTAAAGATTTGGGTGTTATAAATGTAAAAAATAAAATCTAGGCTTTAGATACCTAAATATATTAGAGTTGGGTATATATAAATTCTATCAAACATAATTTCAATTTGCAAGCTCTTTTTAGTTTAATAGTGCAAATAAGATACAGTGGAGCCTTAGAATCTAACTTTAGTTCAGATCATATTAAGTTAGGTTAAAATTCTAATACATAATTCCCCCTAAACTATTAAAGTTTTGCAAAACTATGCTTGACTTGTTTGTAGCAATTTTTCAGTGGTTCAAGCCTCAGAAACAAGCAAATGTTCAACATTATCTGTGAGCTACCAGAAACTGTGGCAAGATCTTTGGTGCCGAGGATAAGAGTTGTTAAAGGTAGTGGGAAGGCGATAAATTACTTGACACCCCCTCGCATTTTGGTTGCTTTGGTTACTGCTTGGCTTCGCCGTGGTAGATGGTTTGATGATCAGGTAATTTTTAATTTCAAATTGGGGAAAGAACATTTACAATTTCTTCTCATGCATGACATTATCTTCCACTATCTTTTATCAGTGAGATTAAACTTAGGATTGTTAATGAACTCGAGTCGGGCTAAGTCTGGTTGAAGTTCGGCTCAATCATGTTTCGAGTCTAGCCAAGCATGGCTTATCAACTTTGATCCGACTATGATTTGAATCAAAATTTGATTCAATTTAAATCTATGATGCACTAACACAAGCACGATACAATATATACATTTAGCATTTCTATTATTAAAAATATAAGATATGGATACACATCTGATGTTATGATATAAATGGGCATTTATATGCATACTACCGAATTCTTATGTATTCACATATCCAACACACAAACCTATACCGCTCTAATTATTCATATAACATTCAAAATACCTCTATTTTAATTTTTAAAAAGTGATACGCTTTTTTTTTGCTTAGGTAAGGTTACATATGTGTAAACATTTAACTTTAGGTGTTAGATATGTAAATACATAAGAATTGAGGGGGGTATGTAAGTAAATCTCCTAATATAAATTATAAAAAAATAGTTAAAAAAATAAACAAACATAATATTAAGAACAATAAAGAAGGGATAATAATAAATTTAATAAAATTAACTTTCAAAAACTAAGAATAGATATTGTTTAACTCTGTCTTGTATAATATGAAGGTAAGTTGAACTTCTAAATTGACTCAATCTTAAGGTTCTCTTTTGCTTATCAGGGCATGGCGCTTTACGCCGCAGAAGCAGATCGGATTCGCAACTGGGCGGAAACTCGCACGAGATTCTCCTTCACAGATGCCATGGAGATGTACACAGAGAATGCCTGGTTATCTGTTTTCTCTCTCTCCGTCGTCTGCGCCTTCATAATTCTCTCCAGTTCAGGCAATTCCATTCATGGCACATAATTTACTCAGTAGACTACATCAATATCATCTGTAACACCTCTCCAAAGCAGAAGAAGAAGACGAATCATCATCATCATCATCAGCATCGGCCTTGATATATTTGTAATTCTTACCTGCACAATCTTTCACATAGTAGCCCTTCTTTATTTATTTATTTCTTTTTTTAAGTGAAATTCTTCTGTGAATACGTATTGTGATCATATCAAATCATCCCTAGCAGCTGTTCTGTGCAGAGAATTTGTAGCTTGCAGAAGAAATTTATCCGTATCATTTAATTTTGAAGCCATTGGCAGTAATTGAAATGGCTCCAAGTATTTGTATATGTAGACTGTTATATATGATGTTAGCTTTTGTGGGGATTTATGGTTTTTTACATACAAAATACTTTTTTTTTA